GAGGACGCCCCCGGCGACGAGCAGACTGAGGGCAGGATGTGTTTGATGGCCTCAGTCTGCTTCTGTACAGCCGAAAACTGCTGGGCGAAGTTCTCGACCGCGTTGCCGAAGAGGCCGGACACGGGGGAGTTAAGAAACCTGAGCTTGTCGGTCTCCCCAACGCATTCTCTTCCCAAGGCGTCATATACTGACGCTTTTGCCAAAGCGTATACATCCAACGCACATGGCACCCTTTAGCGTCAATATAACACGCTTCGGTTATGGGTAGGTTTAGGTCTGGGGTAGGGTTAGACCACTAGGAGGCGCCTTCTGGCCCATATATAGCTGCATCTCATATTGACGCTAAAGAGTGCCATGTGCGTTGGATGTATACGCATTGGCAAAAGCGTCAGTATATGACGCCTTGGGATGAGAACGGGCTGGTCTCCCGCATGTCAGCCAGACACAGCCAGAGATGGCGTTGCTGGACCACTAGCGTGGACATCGCATGACCCACTGACCGCGCGGTAACCTTCGTCGCACGAAGCGCGAGGTCCGTCGCGATGCAAAGTTCCTGGAGAACTTGTGGATCATGACCACCCTCGTGCAGGTCCTTCAGTGCCTTGGCCTGATGGACCAGCAGCAATGCCATGGCGTGCATGGCAGAGGCAGCTTCCCCACAGGCCTTGTAAGCCTTGCCGGTTAGATCCGACGAGTACTTACAGGCCCGGGAAGGAAGACACGGTTCTCCACGCCAAGTGGAGTTAGGGCACAGCTGCATTGCAACGGCCCGTTCCACTGGTGGGATACGCGTGTATCCCTAAGCTGCCCCGCCATCAAGGGTGGTGAGGGAGGAGGAGCCACCAGAACGGTTTCTGGCAGTGAAAGGTGACGTCCACGTCCCTGTGAGCTCCTCATGCAACTCCGGGAGGAAGGGCACTGGAGTGGGTTGCTGAGAACCAGCGCGCGTCACCCCGAGATACCAATCATCCAGCCGCGAGGGCTCGGGACACGGTGGAGGGTTCCACACGAGCCCGATCCTGTTGGCGGCCCGGGAAAGCATGGCCATCATCTCCGGGTCCGACTCGGGCACCGCTGGCACACCTGAAGGAGGCAACGGGTCCGAGCCGTCGTCCGCAGAGACTTCTGACGCTTCCTCCGATGCAGCGATCCACATCTGGTCGTCGTGGGGAGCACCAAACGAAACGACTGGTACACACCTCGAGGATGGTCCAGCGCGTTCTGTTAGTGCTCTACTGGCTGCGAAGCATGAGAGGGGTGAGGGTTCCTAGGGGGTTGGTTCCCAGAAGGAAGCGCGCTCACGGTAATCCTCAGGTCACCCGCATCACTGCCCGTAGCAACCCTCTGGGGAGGATTGGAACGAGGCAGAGGCACGGGGACTCCGCCCCTTTGCAGGAACAAGAGTCTCGACCTCAGCTCCGAGATGGTCATCTTCCCACAATAAGTACATGACTCATCCACGAGCGCTGCCTGAGCGTGTTCGAGGCCCAGACACACCAGGCAGCGCGCGTGACCATCCCGTGACCTCAGGTAACAACTACATCCAGAAACACACAGATAGAACGTCATCTTGAAAAAGACGTGAACTATCTGTGTATGCTCTTTTAGGAACTGCTCTCACAAGTGCTGAGGCACACAGGGGAACAGCCACCGCGATCACAGACAGGAATGTGCACCCGTCTGTGCGCGCTCTCTCTCTCGCTGGTTACCAGCTGTGAAAACAGCTTTTGCGCGCTCTGTGCGGCGCACCTTACCAGCCGTTAGAACAGCTTTTATTTGCTCGGGAAGAGAGAGAGAAAAAGGCTGTTCACGCTGTTGCACCGTAACACCCACACTGCCGTGAAGAAAAGTCCTCGTAGAAGGCTTGTAGTTTAATTTAAACAGCATCGAAGTGTTGGCTTCGAAGCAAAAAAACTGAAGTGCAATCCCAGCAGCTGCTCGTTTATACCCGCGCTAACGAGGTCGCGCAGCTGATGCAAATGATTGCACGCCAATGTGCATTGGCTTGTTTTAGTTTCACTCGAAGTAGATTGCCTCTCTAGCGAGATTCCTATTGGTCAGTCATGACCTACGTTGTAGTGACTGACCGATAGGGAACATAGCGTCACAAACCATCTAAGACATTTTAGTCAGTCAACTGCATACTTTTTGATTCAATTCCTTTTTTTAATTTGATATAATAATATTACTAATCTGACATATTTAGAATTGTAATAGTAACTTACCTGCACATTTACACTGTGAACCTAATTTCTGTTCACAAAATCCCCTTCATTGAGGCCTTGATGGGAACCTGTGTGCAGGCTCTGGCACCAATCACGTTAGTGAAGCCTGACACAAAGGCTACTGTAAATCATACTTATTGGCAAGGTCATGATTGCATGATCTTCATAAAAAATTATAATGTACCTGCACTGGCAAAAAAAAACAAAAAAACATTCTGCTTTACAACCTTGGGTCTGGAAATACCACAAAAACCACTAAAAAAAGCTAGAGCGCGAGTTAAACTTTGCGAATGGCACGACAGGCAGCACTTTTCACAAAGTTCACCGTATCTACAATATTGTAAAGGAAAGCGTTACTCGCAAAGAATCTCGGGGAAATGCACACAGTTTGTGCTGTTGTTAAAGCCTGCCCGATTCCGACGAGTCGAACATTAAATGTGTTGTTCCAACAAATAAATGATGCAAATGACACTCTCACAAGTCACGAGAAAACCGATCTCTCAAAAAGTAGCCTACACTATCATGCTGCGGATCACCGCGGATCCGGATCACCTCCGCTCATAAAACCGCAATCTAATCCTGTTAACCTGAAATAAGCCTGCTCGCGAGCAGGTTCAAGTTTACGCACCTGTTGCTATGATAGCAAGTCCAGGATGAGCGTCGAAGAACCAAACAATCCAAGATCATGCCAAATCGCCAACAATCAAATCCCGCTAACTGAGTTAGCGACGTGCGAAGAACGGGCCCCAGACCCAGGGCCCCATCCCGTGTTATATTTACTAAAGTGGGTTAGCTACCTACTGTCAGGGTTATGTTTGTTTTTGATCTGTTTCCCTGTTTTGTTCATGTCTGAGTTTCACATGTTCCTTTGTTCAGTTTCCCGCCTTTGTTCAGTTTCCATGGTTACCGTCATTATTAGTTCATTGGTTTCAGCTGTGTGTCATTTATTAGCTCGTTTCAGTTTGTTATTTAAGCCTGACCCTTGCCTTAACTCTTGATCCAGTCTCTGTTATGTTGAGATGTGTTTGCTCTGCCTGTTTACTTTCTTTTTTAGTAAGAATTAAACTTATTAGTTTTTTGTGAGAACCTGAGTCTTCTTTCTTCAGCTCCCCTGCATGCATCGTTACACCTATAGTACCACAATTAGCACAGGGACGAGGGTTTACACTTCTCTCTATTCCTTAGTAACATTTGTTTTCAGCAGCTTTGTGAATATGTTTTAAGAAGAAACTCTCTTAGTGGTAAGATAAATTGTTTTATGAATACAGCCCCTGATGTGCAGAAAAAGATTGTAGAGCTTCACAAAATAAAAAGTGACTGTAAGAAAATAGCTAAATCATTAAAAAAAATCCCATTTCCACCATCAGGGCAATGATTAAGAAGTTCCAATCAACAGGAAATGTTACAAATTTGCCTGGTGATATGTGTCTATATAGCATTAAAAATAATGATAATGCAATATAATAATATTACATTAAGACAATGGAGATTAATACACTTAATTGCATTAAGACAACTAGGCGAGGAGGATAGTTTGAGTGGTCAAAGACTCTCCAAGGATCACAGATGGAGAATTGCAGAAAATAGTTGAGTCTTGGGGTCAGAAAGTATCACAAAAAAAAAAAAAAAACTACATCACCACAAGTTGTTTGGGAGGGTGTCAAGACGGTGAGCAATCCTCTGCTCCGATCCAAAACCAAACTCCATGTATATTCAGTTGCCAGACACTACTGGTGCTTTAAACGGGACTGGGTTCTATGGTCAGATTAAACAAAAAAAATTGCTGTGTTGCAGCAAACACTAAAGTTGGGTTTGGTGCACATATATAGTAGAAAACACAGAGTTATCTTGGCAAAAGGAAGTTGCAAAAAGTACTGAATAAAAGGGTGCCATTAATTGTGGCCAATGTGTATTAGAGAAAAACATTTATTTCAAAATGATATTTTACTTCAATGAAAGGTTAGGTTTTTGTGAATTATTTTAGTAAAAGATCAAATGGTTTAACAATGCAGATTTATTTTCACAGGCTTCTTTGTTCATAAGGGTGCCAATAAATTCTGACCAGGTCTGTAGTACAATACAGTACATTATAATACATAATGGAAAATCTGGTTCTAATATTATGCAGTTCTATTATACTTTCTTAGAAGTCTGTGTAAGTAAGTGACACTGATGGTGTAATGTGACACTTGTTGGATGACAAATCTGGATTATTGTCATATGCAAAAGTATTTAAATTTATGCAGGAACTGGGTTAAGCAAATTTATTGTAAATGTAAAATTTATGCGAATAACCTTCCTGATTTAAGGTCACTGTTTCCCTAATTCAGTATTTCAGGATTTCCTGAAACAACAGATAGTGCTGCTGTTTTATCCTAGTCCATTGGAAATCCATGAATTTACTGTTTCAGCATTTAACATTTTCACCCTCCGGAAAAGCCATTATCTATTATATATATATATATATATATATATATATATATATATATATATATATATATATATATATATATATATATATATATATATATATATTCAAATTGTGATGTAACAACACAGTAATCACCTCAACAGAAGCTGCATCTCAGAATGTATACACATCATCGCAGAGTAAAAAAAACTCTAAACTGGGAAACCTGACTCTATTCCACCTGTAAAACCCCTGCTGAGAGGTAAGATGGGTACAGTTCAGTTTGTTTCACAATAATTTAATTTGTAAATGTATGTATGAGGAGACGTTTGTGGTGTAATGCTCTACTTAATAACTGATTGACATAAGCTTTGTGAGTTTAGATATGGAAATAGGCATTCGTATCATTGAATATAGTGGTATAAGCAAATAGAAATGTGATTTAAGCAAATTAAATGTAGTATATCAGCCTGATTTCTCTCAAACGGCCAGCCACTACACAGCCTTGTTTCAAGATTAACGGTCCATCTTAAACCATGCTTCACAATAGAATGTACATTTTCCTTTTGGGCTTCAGTAATTGTTTCTTTTTCAAAGTTTCTTGGTCAACATCTGATTTCAGCTTGGAAGGAGATTACTTATTGGGTGGCCTTTTCGCTTTACATGAAATTGATGATGTAACACCCATGATCACCCCAGAGACCACCGAATGTTTCAGGTAAGCAAGGGCCTTTTATCAGTCTGGAGTTATCATTACGCAATACTGCAAAACAAAGCAGCATTTCACATTTCTAAACTGAATTTACAATGACATGCTATTAACTTCTTCACTGATGTTTTCAAGGCACAGTTCTTCAATATCTGGCTATCAGATGTTGCAAGTGATGAGGTTTGCTGTTGAAGAAATTAATAATTCCACCACTATTCTGCCCAATGTTTCTCTGGGCTATGAAATTTTTGACCATTGTTCTAATACAAAGAATTTCCGTTCAGTCTTAAGTTTTATCTCAAATAATGGATCAATAAAACCTAAAGAAAAACTCAACAACTATCAGCCTAAAGTGATTGCTTTAACAGGGCCATATGGAAGCACAAGAACTATTACAATTGCACCACTGATCACAATGGACCTTATACCATTGGTAAATGTTACCAATTTTACATTACACTTACATTACACTATACACTTCCTCCTCTTTGTTTAGAACAACCAAGTTATAATATGCTAAATTAATTGTTTATAATAATAGTGTTTCTTCTCTTTCAAAGGTGAATTATGGAGCTTCCAGCTATGCATTAAGCAATAAACTTCAGTATCCCTCTTTTGTAAGAACAGTGCCCAGCAACAAAGACCTGATAGAGATGATTATTCACATCATACGATGGTTTGGATGGAACTGGGTTGCCTTTCTTGGTAGCCAAGACAATTACAGTTCAGACGGACTAAAGCTGTTTAACAAGTACATCAACAACACTGGCATTTGTTTGGCCTATCAAGAGGCTCTAAGCTTAAATGCAAACTACAGTCTAACACTTAAAAAAATTGATATGCTTAACATCAATGTCATTGTGGTTTTCGCTGTGCCACAATATGCCATCAACATAATCAAAACAGCCATATTAGAGAACATACGAGACAAAGTATGGATTGCAGGTGAAACATGGTCTATGAATCAACAACTTCCAAGAGAGCCAGGAATTATGAATATTGGTACAGTCATTGGCATTACAGAGAGATTGTTGTCATTACCTGGATTTGATAAATTCATTTATAAAGACAGGGGAACAACTAATGTTAATTATAAACCTGAGAGTGAAGTCAAGAGTAATAGAAAGACATGTAATCAAAAGTGTGATTACTGCACAATGTTGACTGCAGAGGAGATTATAAATGAAAATCCCACATTCTCCTTTGCCATCTATGCCGCCATATATTCCATAGCTCATGCATTACATAAGGTTCTGCAGTGTGACATGAATAAATGCCACAAAAACACAATGGCTAAGCCATTCATGGTAAGTGAATTTATTTGAATCCATAAACATATAAATAATTGTAACATTCATTATTTCAATAGCAATATTTTAATTAATTAAATAATTAACAATGTTTATATTTTAAGGATATTGCATATTATGTCGATTATATTGTATTACTGTTTAATTGTAATGTCTATATGTAATATAAATAATGTCATAGTAATATTATTATCAATTATTTTTCTTGTTTATTTGAACATACTTAACAACAGGTTCTGGGAGAAATGAAAAATCTGGATTTTCCACTCAATGGCCGTCAGGTGAAATACGATAATAATTATGATCCAACCATCAGTTACGCAGTTGTGCTTTGGCACACTGATGTAAATTCTCCACAGTTTGAGTTGGTGGGCACATATGATACATATCCAGAAACTATTTTTACCATTGACAACTCTCTTATTCCCTGGGGAATTAATGATTCTGTAAGCCTTATTTATTTATTTATTTATTTGTTTGTTTGTTTGTTTGTGATCCTTATCTAAATATTCAGTTTTGTAGATAAAAAAATTCTCAATCAGTTATACATATTTCTCCAAACAAAGGTCAATATGCTCAAAACAAATAACACAACCATCTAGCAAATTCACAAAAATAAACTTTCAGCTAACACATGAAAAGCAAATTGTTCTCTATTAATTACAAACTTATACACAAGTATAGGCCTACGATTGAATTTATTATGACACAATGGAGATCTTTTTCCAATTGTTTATCTTGAGATATGGATCTAAAGAAATGACAGTGTGAATTCACTTGAATTCATGTCTGGCAGACATATGCCTCAATATCTATGCAGGCCACTTGGAGAAGAGTTACTTTGACATTGAGGTTGTGGTTGAACATCCTCTATCTCCAGGAGATATCCCACAAATGGAATCAGAAATGAAGAATAGCGGAAGCTGCATCATCACAAAATTTAGGTGATTTTCTAACCCACAATGAATGGTTGAATTGGATATTGCCTAACCCCATGACAAACACTGACCAATGACATTCCTTCTTTTTTGTTTTCGCTGACTACAGAATAGAACTCATGATTCATCTCATCTTGCCCACTCTTACTCTTCCTCAGACCAGTCTACCTATTCTCATGCACTATCTTTGCCGTATGTAAGGCAAAGTTATGATAGTTGTGAACAATTACTTATGCAGAGGATATTAACTTGATGCCATTTGTATAAAGAAGATGGCTTTATTTAAGTTGTCTGTTGACTGTTCTGAAAGCAAGATCTGATACATTTGTGCATAGTGTTTATGGAAATAACATTATTTGTATTCTGTAATTTGCAGTCCATGTATAGAAAAACATAGCGTTTAGGCTGTGTTAATTGTTTGAGAACACTGGTCGTAGTTTGGAGAAATGTGTACAATTGATTGAGAAATTTTTTAACTTTAATAACATGTTTTCCCATCCCTTAAAGGTTCCTTTCTCAAACTGCTCTGTTGAGTGTAAGGCGGGATTTTCAAGGCAACTTGAAGGTTTTCATAGTTGCTGTTTTATGTGTAAAAAATGCCCGCGTAACAGCTATGTGGATTATTCTCGTAAGTATACTAAAGGTGTCGTTCAAAAACACCTTTTTGTTTAAGCTTCTTCAGTCCAATCTATCACCACAATGCTTTTGGAATATAGGAAACGTTTTGTAGTGTGATTTGAAGACAATATTTTCCTACACCCAGTTACTATTTATTATGGCTTTTGGCAAAATGGTATTACTAAACATTCATATTATTTTACTGTTTCACAGGGGACCCCTATACCTGTTTTCCATGTGCAGAGAGTGAATGGTCTGAGGAGGGCAGCACGATATGTAAGACACGTTCTGTTGTCTATCTTCAGTTCACAGAAATCTCCTCCATCGCTGTCATGGTTTCTGCCACATGCCTAATTATTCTCCTTTTTGCCATATTTTGCCTTTTCACCTATAATTACAACACACCAGTGGTGAAGTCTGCTGGTGGTAGCATGTGTCTTCTTATGTTGATATGTTTGATTATGTCTTCCATTAGTGTATACTTTTTTTTTGGACAACCCACATTTGTACATTGCCTCCTGAGAAATGCCATTTTTGCATTTTTCTTCACTGTCTGCCTTTCATGTTTGACGGTCCGTTCCTTTCAAATTATTTGTGTTTTTAAAATGGCTGCTCAGTTCCCAAGGGTGCACAGCCTTTGGGTAAAGCACAATGGACAGTGGCTCTTCATTGCATTTTCTTCTGCCATTCATTTAATTTCTTGTGTGATATGGATGACTGTCTCTCCTGACAAACCCATCGCTGACTCATGGACTTTTAAAGATCAAATTATGCTCATCTGTGAAATGGGGAACACTATAACCTTTACCATAGTTTTGTTTATAAGTTGGTTTCTTGGTTTCCTGTGTCTCCTGTTTTCTTACATGGGAAGAGATCTGCCGAAAAATTACAATGAGGCCAAATCAATAACTTTCAGTCTCATTTTGTACTATCTGAGCTGGATTGTGTACTTCACAGCATACCTCTCTGTCAAAAGCAAGTACATCATGCTTTTGAATGCAATGGCCCAGATATCTAGTATATATGGAATTCTCTTCAGCTATTTCATAAAAAAATCTTTCATTATAATATTCCAACCTCAAAAGAACACTCCCGCATACTTTCAAACATCTATTCAGAATTACACCCAAACCCTTAGTAGGACATAGACCACAATGCAAAGATGCAGATACACAAGGGAATTGCAGTTCCCATTAGTTGGAAGATGATTGTGTTAAGCACAATTATATTTGACAGATAAATAATTTGTTTGACATTTTAGTAAGCATAGATCCCTCACTATTATGTTACCACAATCTTAAATACACACATGGGAAAAGTAGAGAAGGAAGAAACATTCTGGGGTTTATTCTGCACTTTAGCACATGTGATTTATGAAAAGAGTCATTTAAATATTTATACAGCTGTTCTTCATATGCTAGCATTTACACTTAAGTGTTAATGTAAACACAAATGCTCGCTTTTTACATGTAATAAAGAACATTTTCAAAACTTCCATAACTCTAAGCAAATCAATAAAGATTTGTGAGGTTTGGATTGTCAGTCTTGTATCTTTGATGTTGTCACCGTTGGTTGCAGCAGAGATGAAACAGGATCTAAGTGCAGTAGTATTTATTTAAAAATCAACTCAAATTGTTGTAAGGAGGTCTTGACAGTGGCTCAGTGCTGGGACCAACAGGGACCATGGTCATCCAACACAGGAAAAAAAAAAAACATTTACAAAACAAAGAGGAACAATAAAGATAACAATTCATACATAACAAAGAAAATCAAAAGTTGGCTACAGGCAGTGGCGGATCTAGAGATTTTTTCCTGGGGTGGCAAAGGGGTGGCATGAGGTTTCAGGAGGGGGGCCATGGACATTATTCATAATTTAAAATGCTACGGTTTTCATTGAATGTGTTTTGTTCTCTACATGACTACATTACACGGAGTGGGAGTCAAATCAGAGATGTAGCTGGGTTTTTGGACGGTGTGGGTCTTAATTTGTGAATTGTGGACCCTTTCTCTGTGTAATCACTATCAACAGTCTGTGTAGTCTATACTTAAATTGTACTTTGTGAAAAAGCAATTCTTGGGGGGTTTGGGGGTATGCTCCCCAGGAGATAAAAAAAAAAAAAGATGATGTGCTGATGTCTTCTAGTGAGTTTTGAGGAAAAACTCAAATGATGTCTTCTTTTGAGGAAAAACTCAAATGATGTCTTCTAGTGAGTTTTGAGGAAATATGGACATATTTAGTCATACAACATAAGCAATCAATAGATTTAGGTTATCTGGATTGAAACAAGATTATAATGCAGGATTGTTGCAATGATAACCATGACTGTCAAAACATTTCCCTCTGATTAAATAAAGACTCAGTGAAGTACCTTTTTAGTCAAACATTATTTTTGGATTTATTACAATATAACATACAACAATTTAAAATGTACATAAGAATGCCATTCAAAATCTCTCTCACACACACACACTCCCTCTCTGTCTCTAAACTGCTGATCACTTGAGGGCAAACATCAAAAACACAATTTTCTGAGGCAAGACCTCAAAATCCGCAGGAACTATGGAATTAGCATATTAACTATAGTTTGGGCATTTCAGCCCAAGATAAATATTTATGGATGCCAGGCATTTGTGAGGTTCCATACTGTTTGCAGAAAACATACGAAAAAGAACATCTTGAAATGAAAAACACTAACTTGATGTCACAAAGGAAGGCCCTTGAGACTGTCCTAAGTCAGGTGCTGTAGCACGAGGGTTAGGGAGGAGTTAGGAAGGTATGGCATGACAAGATGATTGGCGGTGCAAAAATAGATCATTTATTAATAATCCAAAAACAATCCGTGCAAAGTACAAAATAACAAAAAAAAATCAACAAAAAAAACGTGATGAATGCAGGTTATAGTGCTGCTAACGAAGCAGCACTATAACCTCTGCCCATTAAACACAAAGGCAAATTGCTGATACAGCTCTCTATCAACAATAGAACTCACATAATGTTATACTCTTGTAACAGAGCAAACCACCAACCCTCCTTAATAGCCGGAACACTCCGGTTAAATACACACACTTCCCGCCAAACGAAATTAGGAAGTACCTTTTGTACAGGGTATCCTTTTGGCTTAATAATGCACATGATAACAATGACATTAAAACAAACACATCTTTTACAAAGACAAAAAATATCATTAGTTCAGCTTAAACCAAGTAATGTTACCATAAGAAACATACCTTAAACAGAACAAACATTTCCCTCCACACCTATACTGCCTCCCCCAGTTGTGGGAAATGGTATGACCCATGCTATGATAAGCGCGTTCCGGTTACGCGCGCTACCGGAACGAGCAGAGCAGAAACCAGCAGGTAAGCACATACAATACCACAGAGCTATATCATGTAAAATTACTAATAAACAGTCTGTAAAAACATTTGACTACTTGTGATTTCTTATGCTTCCGCGAGTGCTAATGGTAATCAAAGAATTTGAACTTGAATGATGCTACTGAACGCAAGAATTGTGGGGTTGCCAACGTCCAAAGCTAATTGTACACGGGATGCAGAAATGAAATATGAATAAAGCGCTTAAACAATGTACTTGGCAAACTAAATATAGCAACATTTACCACACATTTGAGACATACTGAAATGGTGATGATATCAACACAAAGGTTCATCATCACACTTGATAAAATTATAACCTAATGCAATTTTCTTATTTGCAAGATGCTGTTATTTTATTACACATGACTATTAAACTGTACAGGTTAAATCAATTGCAGACTGCGGTTTCCATGAATGCTAGCAAAGCGTTGAACAAACTCGTTTAAGTCAACTGCTTTTGCATGGTCACTCTCAATGCTGAGCACAGTTAAATGGGACAATCTCTCAGTTAGCATAGTTAAGCGCAGATGATTTTTTACGAGTTTTAGAGTGGAAAAACTGCGCTCACATCCAGCTGTGGTAACTGGTAAAACAGCTGCAATCTTGCATAAACGATGCATCTCATAAAACACCTATTTAAAAGGGTCCAAATAACCTAGCAGTTCAATCAAAGATGAAGGGACATTTTTTCCATCTCTTTTACTCCTTGCAAAAAGCCTCTCAACCTGAGTGAGTTCATTTTTCAGATCCTCAATATTTGAGCCATATGCTTCAGCAAGCAGCAAGACAATATCCTCTTTTAGAAAGTGATTGCTAACTGGGTTTAGCCCCTGTAAGCCTTTCATTATATCGCAACTGGGCGTTGAAAAACGGTTCTGCATTTCCCCAATAATAGAATCCATTATGGGCAGGAATATGTTTGTTCGAAAGGCATCCTTGCCATTAACTTGGCTTCTGTGACCAAGTGTGGATGTGACATAACTGTCATTTAGTGCTCTGGGTGTCTGTTTGGCTCTTTTTAGTCTAACAGTGATGGGGATGTTGCAGGTTTCACATGTGTGGATTACTGTGTTCCACAGCTCATTAAAGTACTCATCCTCATTGCGATGCTCTTCAAAGGTCTTCCTGGGGGTCTCAATTAAGTCAACAGCTGGGGAGATCCAAGTTTGGGGACTGTAGCAGCTCAGACAAAAACTTTGCGTCACCAAGCACCTGTCTAAATACGGCAAGTAGCCCAATAAAGTTCAGGTCAATTTGAGACATTAACCCTCGGGCCTTTGTAGATCTTTCAGGATCAACCTCATATGATATGTCATCCAACCCTTTGAGTACTGCAGACAATCTATCAAAAAGGTTCCTATAGGCAATACCGCGACAGGCCCATCTGGTGTCGCTGAGGCTTTGAAGTTCTCTAGGGGGGCCACTAAACATCTCCGCTTGTACTTCCATCCACTTTTGATGGACATAAGAGCCGGAAAGAAACACATACAATTGCTGGAGCAAAGTAAAAAACTCCCCAGCCTCAGGGACCTTTTTGACGCAATCGACAACGACCAAATTTAAGCAATGAGCATTGCAGCGGACATAAAAAGCATATTTGGCCACCTGTTTAACTCTTGTCTGCACCCCTGAGCACCGGCCACTCATAACTGCAGCGCCGTCGTACCCTTGGCCCACTAAATTCTCCTTGTATTCAAGGCCATACTGCTCCAAAGAAGAGATGATTTTGTTAGCTAAGGAGCTGGCATCCAAATGTTCGGCTTCCCAAAAGCCTAAGAAGCCCTCCCGTACGGCTCCCTCATAATATAATACCTTAAGACTATGGACAATTGCTCCCTTTTGCTGAGATCTTTTGTTTCGTCAGATGTAACAGAGAAGTACTGACTAGATTTGACTTCTTTTAGTATGTCCTCCTGGACCATCCCTGCCAGGATTTGTAATATTTTGTTTTTGGATATTTTTGGAAGTAAACATCGCATTGCGGGGGCCTTCTGATAGTCTTTTTTGAATAAAAGAATCATGATCTCCTACTATGTGCAAAATCTCAAGGAAATTGCCTCTGTTCCTAGTCTCATCATTTTCATTATGTCCACGCTGTTATATTGTACTATATTTTGTATTGCAGTAAGACGAAATACCTGACCTATAGTCTTTATGTATTGTTGATTCTCTTTTATCTGTTTGCGATTCTCATCCTTCATCATGCCTAATACTGATATGTTGCGTTTCATCATCTTTTGATGATCTCGCCATGTGGTCATTCATTGCATTCAAATGCGCCTCAGATTTGGAATGTACACTAAAGCCACCATCTTTAAAAGTGGCCTTGCGCCAGTTTTTGCATCCTTCAGAAGAGGTATAAACAGTTTTGCTAGACGAAAAATGCCAGCATGCAAAGCAATACCAGCGTCCATGGCCACTGAATATTCCAACCAAGGATATTCCTCATACCACTGTCCTTGGAAGCTCCTCCTTGCCCCTCCCTGCATGGTTTTGGGAAATACCTTTAACACGGGTTGTGTCAGATCATCTGCCTTCAGTTTTGATACATATCAGAAGAGAAAACAAAAAACACAATCACAGCACTGACAACATGTTACAATTTTTGTTTGCATTTATCTAAACAAGATCAGTTTTAATTTTGCCGCCTAGAGTTGGACATGTCTTTATTAAAGCAGTGATTCTACGTACCATGAGGGACTAGCCATCTCTCCAGTTTCACTTTCACACTCTTCACTGATTTGCCCTCTCTCTCGTCCTACATTTCCCTCTTCTTCAGTGGGCTGCTCCAGCCCCGCATG